TTGGAGGGGACAGCAACAAATCTAGGGAAAAAATGAGGAAGAGAATTAGGTCCAAACTATAAACAGAAGCCATTCTGATTTATAAGGAGCAACTGGGGTTGGAAATTGTGGGGAATCAGGAAATTACACAGCAGTCAAACAGCGTTTGAGGCAAAAATATGGGCTATCTTTGAGGAAGGGATGGGTGAGATGAGCGGTCTTGGAGCATAAGAGCAGCGTAGAGAAAGGAAAACTGACTAATTCTCCCTAGTTTGAACAGAAGGAAGGATATACAATGCAAGTTTAGAAAACCACTGGTGCTGTTTTAGAAAGATGTGCAGCCTTCCTCTCTAATTAATGGGCGAAGGCCGGAGTCCCATTTTGCTGGAGGGAAGTGTGAAGGCCCAAAGTCCAGAACATAAAGCCTGATTTGAAGGCACTGAAGGTACAGGGAAGGGGTTCACTGGAAACGGGCTGGCCTGAGTTATGTGATCTAATTGTTTAAAGATGGGGTTCAGTTAAGATGGGAAGGATAAGAGTAAAGATGAGTTCCATTTGAGAGAAAGTGTTTAAAGGGTAGAAGTGTTTAGGAGAATGTTGAGGGAACACCATTAGGGACAAAGGATGGAGAAAGGAATCAAATCCAAAGTTTTTAATAAATAAAAGGAATAACGCTGGGAGGCTAGGAAAGTAGGGCCTAAATGGAAGAGGGGTGTGGAGGGGGGAAGGCAGGGAGAAGATGAAGCTGGAGTGAGGGCCCAAGGGAGGGCTGGTAACCAAGAGATTACTAGGCCTGAGAAGAACCGGATTGAGGTGATGAGTAGGGGGATTGAGTCCACTTGAGACCTGAAGGATGGAGCTTGACTTGGGGTGGCAGGGACAGTGATAAGAGAGGAATGGGGGAGAGTGCAGTTTTCATTTGGGAGGGGATTCAAAGGGAAGGGCTAAGTGACTTATTGGGGGAGTAAGAAAGATGTGGAGAGGATGGGAAACAATCCGGGGCATCTGGATGCGGGAGAGAGCTCAGTCTGGGGAATGGACATCGTTCGGCAGAGCTGAAGGAAAAAGGAGACCTGGTTGGAAGGCTGGGTCCCGCTGTATGGGGGCTTTAGAGGAGGAGGCCCGAATGAGGGGGATGGGCCGGGCTGGAGGGAGGGGGCTAAAGGACAGAAGAAGGCCCAGTGCGGGGCCGGAGCTCAGAGTGCGGTAGCTAACATGGGGAAGGGACTCAGTGGGTGCGGATGGGGCCCAGTGGCGGGGACAGGGGTTGACTGGGGGAGGGGAAAGTCTTCTAAAGCAGATGAGAGGAGGATGGGGGCGGGGAGCCTGGGCCGGGCCGTTACCTGTCCTGGGTGTTTATCATCCTCGGCGGCTCTGCTCAGGGTGGGAGGAGGCGGCGCAGGGAATGGGTAGGTGGATGACTGGGTGGGTGTGGGGTCGCGCGCGCGGGGCCGATCTCTGCGGGCTAAGTCCCTGTCAGGCCGCGGGCCGAGAGCCCTCCTCCTGCCTCAGCGAGCGCCTGCCTCCAACTGACCCTCCCCGGCCGCCGCCGACGCCGCCGCAACCGCCCCGCCCCCGAGTGCTCATCTGCATAGCCCCACCCCAGCGCCGCGCGGTGTCCTGGGAAACTGGGGCCCACAACAAAGGGCAAAGCACCGCCCCGCCTCTGCGCAGGCGCAGCGGGGGCAGTAGCCGGAAAGGGAGTCGAGGATCCGATGTAGGGTCGTGTTAGGTGGAGGTTGTGGCCCAGGCAGTGGCTAAGACTGCGGCTGCGCCTGCACGGCCCAAAAGGTGTGCTGTTTTTTTCGTAGGGTTTTCTGTGAGGATTGACCCAGTCTAGTCCTCATCCCTACTTGTTTGTGTGGGGCCAAGCAAGCTTATGCCTTTTGTAGGCCCTAGGAAGATAGTCATTAAACAAAACAAAATCAGAAATCTAAAACTATTACACACATATTAGGACCATTCGCAGTATGAGTCCAGGCCCACAAATCTCAATTACCTCAGCTTACTGTAATGCAGATCAATAACCTCAGCTGTCGGCTGAGATAAACAATCTCAGCAGCCTGAAGATACATCTCAATGGACATATGGTCAAGGCTCCAGTGACTTGCTCATGGTCACTGAAGCCAGATCTCTATAGACGGTGATGACAGTCACATCACAGTAGTCAGGTGGAGGTCATCATTACTAACTTGTTCACAGTCACTACTCACAGTCAATGAGTTGAACTTCTAGCAATGCAAGTTTACCAGTTCACTGACATCCCTCCCTATCTATCCTTCCTGGTCCTTATCACACATTTGTGCCAGAAGGTCATAGTCACTGGTGCACAGATCCCTCAGATCACAGTGGTTGCAGGTCACAATCACAGGCACTGTAACACAATCATCAAAACCCCCCACTCTCTGTTCACAGCTACTTTAGATCATAGTTGCTGTCACCTCAAATTATATTCATTCGTGTATTCAACAAATAATTACCAAGCAGCTACTTACTATGTGCTTCTGCTTCAAGCATGTATTAAAGAGTCCCAAATACTCAATGATCAACTAGACAAGGTTCCTGCCTTGGATGTCACAATCTGGTCAGAGGGAGAGACACAGAGTCCATCACAATACAAAGTAATGCTCAATCTTAGGGATGCCACAGAGAAAGTAACTGGGATTACTGCTTCTGAGAAAGGGTGATAACTCTGAGAAAGGGTGATGCTCCAGATCAGAGGTTACTATGACTTTTGGTTCATAATAGCCTCAAATCACAAAGTCCCACATCAGAGCCATAATTACTTCACAAACAACATGTTTTTGCTTTTTGGGTGATGGGGGTGCAGAGACACAAGAAGGTTTGGAGGCTGGGCTCAGTGGCTCACACCTATAATCTTAAGCACTCTGGGAGACTAAGGTGGGTGTATTGCCTGAGCTCACAGGTTCGAAAGCACACTGAGCCAGAGAGACCCCATCTCTAAAAATAGCCAGATGTGGCAGGCACCTGTAATCCCAGCTACTTGGGAGTCTGAGGTAAGAGAATCGCTTAAGCCCAAGAGTTGGAGGTTACTATGAGCTATGATGCCACAGCACCCTACTGAGGGTGACAAAGTGAGACTCTGTCTCAAAAAAAAAAAAGAGAGAGCGAACAAAGAAAGAAAGTTTGGAACTGCCAAGCAGTCTTTTTCAGCAAATTAAAGTGGTAAATGATACCAGAAGTCCCATACTCTGGCTCATGTTAAAATCGTCTGCCTTGGCTTAGTGTCCGTAGCTCAGAGGTTAAGGTGCTGGCCAAGTACACCAGGGCTGGTGAGCTCGAACCCAGCCTGGGCCTGCTAAACAAACAACAACAAAATAGCTGGGAATTGTGGCAGCTGTAGTCCCAGCTGCTTGGGAGATTGAGGCAAAAGAATCTCTTGAGGCTCGGCACCTATGGCTCAAGTGGCTAAGGCACCAGCCACATACACCTAAGGTGGTGGGTTTGAATCCATGCTGGGCCCGCTGAACAATAATGACGGCTGCAACCAAAAAATAGCCAGGTATTGTGGCGGGTGCCTGTGGTCCCAGCTACTTTGGAGGCAGAGGCAGGAGACTTGCTTGAGCCCAGGAGCTGGAGGTTGCTGTGAGCTGTGATGCCAGATCACTCTACCTAGGGTAACAAAGTGACCCTACAAGGGTGACAAAATGAGACTCTATCTCAAAAAAAAAAAAAAAATCCTTTGCCTTGTCCCCTCAGCTATCCCTATCTACTCTTCCAAATTCAAGCCAGGTATGTTCTTAAATTAGTACCTAGCAGAAATGGTTTAACCCCACCCTGATCTTCCTTATCTCATAGTCCCAGAGACCTGGGCAATCCTCCTGGTCCTCAAAGAGAGTGGGGATGGCTCATTTCTGCCACCCCATCCCTGAACAAGTAACCTTTTGTCCTGAAGGGAAGTTTCTGACCAGTTGGTTGGCAAATACTAAGAATTCACAAAAAAACTTCAGGTGGCGCCTGTGACTCAAGGAGTGGGGCGCCAGCCCCATGTATCAGAGATGGTGGGTTCAAACCCAGCCATGGCCAAAAACTGCAAAAAAAGAAAACAAGAATTCACTGGGCGGCACATGTGGCTCAATGAGTAGGGCACTGGCTACATATACCCAGGGTGGTGGATTCAAACCCGGCCCTGGCCAAACTGCAACAAAAAAATAAATGGGCGTTGTGGCCGGCGCCTGTAGTCCCAGCTACTCGAGAGGATGAGGCAGGAGAATCGCTTAAGCCCAGGAGTTGGAGGTTGCTGTGAGCTGTGACGCCACAGCACTCTACTAAGGGCAATAAAGTGAGACTCTGTCTCTATAAAAAAAAAAAAAAAAAAGAATTCACTATGTCAATGATAGCAGTAATTTATTGAACATCATGCCAAACTGCTCATTTTTCAGCTCCCCATCCCCATCTTACAGATGAAGAGAATTCATCCTCAGGGAGGCTCATTCCGTCAGCTAATATTTATTGAGGGTCTATCTAATACCAACAAAGGTAACTTGCATTCTCTAATTCAAAGCTGTTAAGGAGTGGAATTGGAATTCAAACCCAGGGTTATCTGAATTCATGTGGTGGAAAAGTCAGAAACTCTAGGCCACAGATTACTGTTTAAAGGAGTAGCCACCTGATAGATACCTGTCCATCAAGTGAAAATTTCACAAAAAAGGGGAGCCACCTGCTTCTAACCTGTACTATCCAATGTGATAGCCACTACCCATAAAATAAAGGGTTTTTTGTTTATTTGTTTTTGAGACAGAGTCTCACCATCTCACCCTTGGTAGAGTGCCATGGCAACACAGCTCACAGCAATCTCAAACTCTTGGGCTCAAGCAATTCTCTTGCCTCAACCTCCCAACTAACTGGGACCACAGGTGCCTGCCACAACGCCCGGCCATTTTTTGGTTGCAGTAGTCGTTGTCTACCAGGCCTGGGCCACCTTTGGCGTATGTGGCTGGCACCCTACTCACTGAGCTATGGGCGCCAAGCCAATGAAGTTAATTAAAATGAAATAAAGTATACTTATCTGGCTGGGAAGATACCATGATCACAAAGGTGGTTTTCCCAAGGCAAGGCTTATCCATTGCACTCCAGATGTGCTCACCCCTGCAATTTCCCAAAATGGGGAGACCTTGACTGCATAATTTGTGGTAGTGAGGGAATGTGTTGGTGTTCCCCCCACCCCTTTTGAGACAGAGTCTTATTTTGTCACTCTAGGTGGAGTGCCCTGGTGTGGTAGTTCACAGTAACCTCAGACTCTTGGGCTCAAGTGATCCTCTTGCCTCAGCCTCCCAAGTAGCTGGGACTACAAGGCACCCACCACAAAATTAGTGGGCCATTGAGGTGGGCACCTGTAGTCTCAGCTACTCAGGAAGCTGAGGCAGGATTGCTTGAGCTCAGGAGTTAGAGACCAGCCTGAGCAAGAGCAAGAACCCATCTCTACTAAAATAGAAAAATAGCAGGCCAGGCGAGGTGGCTCGTGCCTGTGATCATAGCACTTGGAAGGCTGATGCAGGTGGATAGCCTGAGCTCACAAGTTCAAGACCAGCCTGAGCCAGAGCAAGACATCTCTAAAAATAGCCAGGCATTGTGGTGGGTGTCTGTAGTCCCAGCTACTTGGGAGGCTGAAGCAAGAGAACCACTTGAGGTCAGGCACAGTGGCTTATGCCTGTAATCCTAGCACTCTGGGAGGCCAAGGCCAGTGGATTGCCCTGAGCTCAAAGGTTCAAGACTAGCCTGAGCCTAAGCAAGACCCTGTAGTCTTGGCTACTCGGAAGACTGAGGCAAGAGAATCACTTGAGCCCAGGCTCAGCGCCTGTGGCTCAAGTGGCTAAGGTACCAGCCACAAACACCTAAGATGGCAGGTTCGAATCCAGCCCGGGCCTGCCAAACAACAATGATGGTTGCAACCAAAAAATAGCTGTGAGCTGTGATGCTACAGCACTCTACCGGGGGCAACAGGGTGAGACTCTGTCTCAGAAAAAAAAAAAAGTTCATTTAACTACAATTTCCCAACTTTGAAATTTGGAATAATTGAAACTCTCCTATGTGAGTCTACTGTTAGCTGATGATACTGGGTTATTGTTTTTCTCTCTGTCCATTTCTCTTTGCAGATAGAGATAGCACATTATTATAAAACTAGTAGTATTATTGGGCAGCATCTGTGACTCAAAGGAGTAGGGCGCTGGCCTCATGTGCCAAAGGTGGCAGGTTCAAACCCAGCCCTGGCCAAAAAAAAAAACCAAACAAAAAAAACTAGCAGTATTATTTCAAATATCATTTTAAAAAAAAGTTGTAGGGCGGCACCTGTGGTTCAGTGAGTAGGGCGCCGGCCCCACATACTGAGAGTAGCGGGTTTGAACCCAGCTCCGGCCAAACTGCAACAAAAAAATAATCAGGCATTGTGGCAGGCACCTGTAGTCCCAGCTACTCAAAAGGCTAAAGCAAGAAAATTTCCTAAGCCCAAGAGCTGGAGGTTGCTGTGAGCTGTGATGCCATATCACTCTACCTAGGGTAACAAAGTGAAACTCTGGGGGTGGCACCTGTGGCTCAGTGGGTAGGGCGCTGGCCCCTTATACCGAGGATGGTAGGTTCAAACCTGGCCCTGGCCAAAAACTGCCACAAAAAAATAGCTGCACATTATGGCGGGCACCTGTAGTCCCAGCTACTTGGGAGGCTGAGGCAAGAGAATCTCCTAATCAGTGGTCTTCAAACTATGACCCACGGGCCACATGGGGCCCACCGTGGACATTTATCAAGCCCACTGGGTGTTTTTGCCGCTGCTGCCTGTCCTGCTTAGCAGCCAACTCGTCCTGGGCCCACAGTCTGACCCTCCAACGGTCTAAGGAACAGTGAACTGGCCCCCTGTTTAAAAAGTTTGAGGACCCCTGGCCCTAAGCCCAGGAGTTGGAAGTTGCTGTGAGCTGTGATGCCACAACACTCTACCCAGGGCAATAAAGTAAGACTCTGTCTCTACAAAAAAAAAAAAAAAAAAAAAAAATTAAAACTTTATCTCAAATAAATAAATAAATAAATAATGTCGTGTACCATAATTATAAAATTATTTCAAACCATTTCCCACAAAATCATTGTATTTCTTTATACATATTTAAAATTTTTTACACCATTTCAGTTATTATTAGGGCAAGTATGTGTATCAAGCATGAACAGTAAGGTCTCTTTCTCTCACTCTACATGAGCCCCTCCATAGGTCTGGTCACAATATGCCACCACAGTGGGGGCAAATCACCTTCCTCTGACAAGAGGCAAAGCTTCAGTTAAAGGACCCACCAGGTGGGGTTTCCTCTTACAGCTGTTTAACCTGTTCCAGCTTTTCCTCCACAATTTCTTCCACTGTTCTCTCTAGGCAAAGTAATCAGGATACATTACCTTTTCAGAAGGATGCTGGTCATCTAAGCACCACTCTGGAACCTCATAGCACTCATATCTCTTACAGGAGGTACTTTCAGTGAAAACATAGTGAGAATAATAAGATGGAGTCATTCAGACTAGGGCTGAGATGACACAGCTGATCTGGTTGATTTAGGTCCTAAGTGACCTTTTCCTCACATCTCCCATTCTTGCTGTTTTGTAAATTCAGCTTTAACCTAAAAGTGTATATCTTGAATAGTTTGGCTCGGCGCCTGTGGCTCAAGTGGCTAAGGCACCAGCCACATGCACCTAAGGTGGCGGGTTCGAATCCAACCTGGGCCAGTCAAA